GATCAGTTCATCGTGCCTTCAGCAAAACCTGCAAACCACAGCTGGTTAGAGTTCAGGGCTTTCGGCCAACGAAGGAAAATAGGTCCGAAGAATTAAAAGCAGTTAAATTCAAAACATTGAAGAGAAGAAGAACAAAGATGCAGCCTGATTTCCATTCCGCATTTGCCCTTGTACAGATGTCAAACTGCACCTTTCTTTTGTTTTTCACATTATTTCTCACACTAACTCTCAGTACTGACCTCTTCTGGAATCTTTGCTGGACCCGCGCCAAAGTTGATTTTCCTCACTGTCATTGCTGAAAGTGGATTCTAAAAGCAGTGCTGCTATTGTGCTTAATATTGAGACGAATCTTGTTTGAGTCGCGCTGATGCAACGAAGACAATTTTGATAAGCTTTGAAAAGTAGATAACATTCGAATAAACGATGTGGGAAGTTTATAGTTAAGAACGGGTGGATTATTAACTTGACATTTCAGGTTGAGAATAATGAGCTACAATTTCCGTGAAAATTCCGGAAACTACCAACGCAACAGATTTCGTCCCGCTTCACAGTAAATGGAGGAAGATATAGGTCACGATTAACATTGCGAACTACCCTAGAATGTTTTCCATTTGAACCAGAAATGGGAGACTGTAGGCTCCAGGTTGACTCTTCGAGCTCAAACCACCCATCCTCATTGATGTTCTAGCCAATTTTTGACTTTTCAAAGTGGAGCCACATTACGCAGAGGAATAGGTTTCGAACCCTGAACCTTCGAGGATCACTTCCCAGTCCACATCTGGTGGAGGACCCCAAACAGAGCATTGCCTAGAACTCGGTACTGATTCAGACGCAATCACTATTGTGAGTACTTCTATCAACCGCAGAGTTCACAGATTTCTTTTTGGTAGAAAAAGTCCATATGGGACGATTCCTCATAAGAACATCTTGAAAGAATCCATTCTACAGTATAGGTTTAAGATCACAGCAAGAGCGTCACAGCCCAGAGTTTAGCAACGACGACTGATAACAGAAGCTTTATTCCTTGAAAGTGGGTCCAAGAGAATTTGCAAAATCATTGATCCTATCCAATAACGACAGACGACCGTGCAACTATGTGGTCGATTGTTTCAGGTCGTGAAATCGACGGAAATGGCTGGCTGGAAATGGCAAAGTTCCAACCGCCGTCGAAGTCTTACCGAATTTCCCGGAGAATGAGCTCGTGTGCATATTATTTTATGATCATTTTCTAACTCTTAATATCGGGACGCCAGGCCCCACATGTTTCTCGGCACTTGAACTATTTGTTATGCTTTGGGATAATTCACATCTGAACTTGCTCGATATTAGAAAGCGTAGCAATCGATCACGAACTTGTTGACCAAAAATGTTATTTGAGCATAATTTGGCAGCTATTAGGCCCCTTGTCGACGGATACTGAAGTCAATCATTGAGTTGCACTCCAAAAGTCGCCGATACCAAAGATCAGCGCAGTCTCTCCCATCATCATTGATTACACGTCTATGTGTTGTAATTCAGCCATATGAGAGGGAAAACTTATAGAGGGAAAACTTAAAAGAGAACGGAAGAAAAAATACGAATGCATGAGGAAGCAAAAAGTACTTTGAATAGAAAGAAAAAAACACTTTTCCCCCGAATTGGCCTTTTTTTTTTTTTTTCGATCCCCCGGGCAAAGGCGGGGGGAGTCGTCGACGAAAGGAAAGGTCATTTGGGCAGCCCTGGTGGTCAAGTCGTCCTGGGTTGGGTCTGGCCGACCAACCGAGCGACGAATCTCACCATGTGGATTCCCCAACACACGTACGAATTCATTGTAATCACTCGTGCTAGTAGAAGGAACATTGCAATTGAATAAAATGGGACAACTTTTTCCTCTGTGCCTACTTGGCGTGTAGTAGCTGATGGATACCTTGGTAAGTCAAGCCCTAAAAGAGTTTGATCTATGGTCTTGACTTATTTGCACCACGGAACTACCACACTCTTGATCGACCGAACTGATCTTTGAACTTGAATTCTGGAATCCGTTACTGACGATCAACTCAAGCTGGATCTGTTCAACCGACGCAAAACCGTTTCCTCCTATCCCATTCGCCGTAATACCGGCAAGCAGATTGGTCTAGATACTAGATCAAGCTATGGTAAGGGTACGATAACCATGAAGCTGAGTACCAGATGTGTAATCGTTTTCGCAATAGTAATGGTAAGGTTGTAGCCTTGACCACGCCCGGTAAGCGAAAGAGGTCCAGGTTCAAGGCCTGCTGGGTGAAAAGCTTTTGCTTTAAACGCCCAGTGTAAATCTGTATTATGCTAGCACGAGACTTTTTGGATTTCTTATCCTCGTCCCCCTGCCGTAAATTAGGCTTAGGCTCCTTGAATCAAAAGTATCATTTATAGTACCCAACATCCGACCTACACCAAAGTTGCCAACCAGTCCTTTTCCGCGTTATCCCGTTCACATCAGTTTGCATAAAGAGGTTCAATTACTTAAATAATGCCCTGAAGATCGACGACCAAGCAGTTCATATGGAAGTAACAAAGCAAAATTGAACTTTGTGACTCATATAGCTTAAAAATTTTGAGAGATTCACAGAGATGAAAATAAAAACTATGGGACAAAAAAGCAACGGTCACTGAACGCCAGACCGCCGGGATGGTCTGCGGAGCGAATATCAAGTGGTGAATGACGAAACAAACGCCAAAAACTCGGACGAGGCCGCTATTTGACCGAGAGCGCTGAAATCGGCTACAGATAGCGCCAACGGACAGCGACCGGGTCATCTCGCGCTGCAGATGGTGTGATAGCTACCAACAAATGACCGATAGCGATCGTCGCCTGATATGCTTGGAATAATCAGATCAGCATTGATGGAAATAAAGGCTGTGTTAATAGAAAAAGGATAAAGCGCTGCAAGTCCTTCTTGTGTTCGCCCCGCATCCGATCGCCGTTCAAAATCGTAGAAGCGTTTGAATGCGCCTTCGTCTATGCAATGCAATACAATAAGTTGCGGAGGCAGATATATGTACAAGTCAGGGTTATGATTGCTCTAGACGAATCTACCCTAAGGAAACCGACTCCGGAGGGGTGCCCTCTTAACGGCAGCTTGGCCCCATCCTTATAGTTGCTGATGTAACGTCGAGGAACATCAACGGAAAACCCGAAGAGGGCAGGAACTCATCCGATCCACCTCCACAAAAGCGGAACAGTGCCAGTCTCAAAGCCAATGACGAATTTTCCGACTGCATACCTCGCCAAACCGAGCACAAATAAAGGCCAAAATCAACAACGATGCTGAGGTTGGATGAATAGATAAGCTTGAAACAGCTGAGCTTGCTACACTACTAGAGGAGCACAAGGTTTTTTTTGTCAAATGAACTCTTCCGTATATTATTTTGTTGTGACAAAATTTGGGGCAATTCAACTACTGACCTTGGTAACCTATGCAGCAGTTGGACAGGCAGTGGAGCTGCAGGCTCACACCAAAAAACGCCTGTACTCGGTACCGCGTTCCCCGTCGATTCAAGATGGACTACTGAGATAATACTTGCGTGAAACCGTTTCGAAAATCCACAGATGTTTATCGAATCTTTTTTTTCAAGAGCTAACGAGACTATAAGGTAACCCACACTCCGCCCCTACCCCTCCGCTCGCCTCTGAGTCACACAATTAAAAATCGGAATGATCAATCGATTCACATGCATTTGATTATCTCTCTTCAGTTTGTTCAATTCGTTGCTCTTGCTTCGTCGGCAACATTTGAAATCTAGCACATCAGTCCAATTCATATGAAGAAGCTCCCCCATAGCTGAGTTTTTCACCATAAGGTTTGTGACTGATTGCAGGACCAGGACTGACCTTCTGAAAACCCGCCGGCTCATCAATCACACTTTCAACAGGCGCCCTTGACGTTTCGTGAAGCTTGCCCTCCTCACCTTCGATTTTCTTACGTAC